GTCTGACCTCCCCCCAGCTCTGCCTGACCCCGTTCTTCCCCTCAGAACAGGAACTTGTGTTCTAAGATGTTGCCTCCTCCCCACCCCCTCCAGGCTTTCTTTAATGCTGCTCCTCCTGCTGCTGCTGATTGACAGTGATGGTGGCAGTGATGGTGGTATGACAATGACAATGATGGTGTGTGTGATAGGGATAGTGATGATGCTGATGGTGAGGGTAATGAGGTGAAGATGGTGATATGATGGTGGTGGCAGTGATTGACAGTGACAGTGGTGTTGATGGTGATGGCGATGACTGACAGTGATAATGATGGTGGATGATAGTGAAGGTGGTGATGGTAAGGATAATGATGGTGAGGGTAAGAGTAAGGGTGGGGATGATGGTGGTTATGGTATTGAAGGTGATGGCGATGATTGACAGTGACAGTGGTGTTGATGGTGATGGTGATGATTGACAGTGACAGTGGTGTTGATGGTGATGGTGATGATTGACAGTGATGATGGTGTTGATGGTGATGGTGATGATTGACAGTGATGGTGTTGGTGATGGGGATAGCGATGATTGACAGTGATGATGGTGTTGAAGGTGACAGCGATGATTGACAGTGACAGTGGTGTTGAAGGTGACAGTGAGGATTGACAGTGACAGTGGTGTTGATGGTGATGGCAATGATTGACAGTGACGATGATGGTGGATGATAGTGAAGGTGGTGATGGTGATGGTAAGGAGAGTGGTGGTGAGGGTGCGGGTAAGGGTGTGGATGATGGTGGTTATGGGATTGAAGGTGATGGTGATCATTGACAGTGATGGTGGTTGAGATGGTGATGGTGATGATTGACAGTGATGTTGGTGGTGACAGTGAAGCTGGCTGGCTACACAGCATCCTTGGTAGGGGTGGGAGATACCCAGACCCTGCCTTATTTCTAAACATCTGGGGGAAGTTCACCCCTCACAGGGGCCTAGGAACCCCCCACCTATCATTCCCTTCTCCTCATCAGGACTGAGCTTCTCCGGCAGACGAGGGCCTTCTACTCACAGCACTCCATGGGAAGGGAGGAGGGGGCTGCTACTTCTGGGCCTGGTATAATACAGGAGGGTCTCAACAAATAGTTGTTTAAAAAATTTTCAAAAAATATTCCCTCTGAAGAGGAGCGCAGTCTGAGGTTTGCTGAGGGGTGGCTGTGCATGCGGCAGGCGCCGGGCCCAGAGGCTCCTCAAGAATGGCCTTCTGGAACCTTCTCCTGTGGGAGACAGGAAGAACCAGCACCATCTTTAACAACTGTGGTAAAATCACAAACATAAAATGAACAGTCTCAAACACCATCAGAACATAGTTCTGTGTTGTTCAGTCTGCTCAGGGTGGTATGGAATCCTCCAGAACTCTCCATTTTGCAAAAGTAAACTTTCCACCCACTAAACAGCACCTCCCATCACCCCTTTCCCTGTGTGACCCTGTGCTGTCACTCGTCCCAGTGCCTCAGCCACGTGGAATCTCCCTGGGGTTGTCTTCCCATGTCTGGCTTATTCCACTCGGCCTGCCCTTGAGCTCCCCCCATGTTGTGGCATGGCAGAACTCCCTTGGTCTTCAAGGCTGATCAGGGCTCCATTGTGCATATTTACCAGGTTGGTTTACCTGCTCACCTGTCAGGGGACGCCTGGTGGCCGCCACCTTTTGATTTTTGTGCACAATGCTGCTCTGAGCACGGAGGCTACCCCACAATCCAGAACAGCACAGAGGAGCTCTGGGCGGAGTGTGACCTGCCCAGAGAAGGATCCTCACCCAGCGTCCCAGACCCCAAAGGCAGGGCTCCTCCACCACCCAGTGCCCCCACCTGGAGCTGGACTCATAGAACCCACTGGATCTCTGGAAATTCAGGGACAGAGACTGGAGGGTGTGACTGAAGCCACCCCTTTTTCTGTCCCTCTACTGCAACCTCTGAACCACTAAACACATGACCTGCTTTCCACTCATTCACCAGATATGGATGAAGTGCCTACTGTGTGCTGGGCATGTGCTGGGGGCACTGGATGAAGGCCCTGGGGATGGGCTGAGCTGTGAGCTCAGGGCAGGTTGTAATCACTCACTCATCTGCAACCATGATGCCCAGGAGAGTGCCTGCACACAGCAGGTGCTCAGTAAATGTTGGGGAAACGAAGAAGAGCCAGGATGAGAACAGGAGCCTGGATATCCATCTGCCCAAGGCTGCTGTGCCCTGAACAGCCTCCTCCCTTGTCCAACGGGGGGATCCTGCCTGGTCCAGCTTCTCTTCCAGGGTGTGTGGACAGGTTTGCACGACTCCAGGGAGAGAAGGAGGAGACAGAGGACTCCCCCACCTCACTGTAGTCACCTGCAGAAGGGCCATCTCCTTTTTGCCTGCAGATCGCCTTCGTACCTGCGGACTCCGACTTCCAAGGCATCCTGTCCCCGAAGCCCCTGGGCCTGTTGGAGAATGGGCTTGCCCCAGAGGTGAAGAGGTAGGTATGGGAGCAGTGGTCAGCCACCTAGACCAACCTCCCCCTGAGAAGCCAGTAGGGTGGTCTTTCCCTTCTCCTTGAGCAGGGCCCAGCCTTGCCTTCCCCCTTCCTAAGAACACACTGTCAGAAGTCATGGACTCTTTTGACCTTCAATTCTGTAGGTTAAGCATTATTACCCCCATTTTACAGAAGTGGAAACGGAGGCTCAGAGAAATCTCATGGGGAGTTGGAGATGGGGCCTGAACTCTGGCTACTCTGGCCCCAACCTGCCTTCCCCCTGGAGGTGCCAAGCCCTGGCCCTTGCTCTGGGCTCAGTTAAGAGCACTCTGGCCTCAGCTACCCAGGGTGTGACCTGGAACTCTGAAGGCCAGGCGTGGGCCCAGGTTGTCAGGCCTTAGAAGCTCGCTCTATTTGCTTGGAGATGGTGGTGACGATGGCATTTGCTGCTCCTGCAACAGAGTGAACACGTGTCCCAGTGAGAGTGCAGTGGTGGACCTGGGTGGGTGTGGGGACATCTCAAACTCTCTTGGGTCACAGGGCTAGTTATAGGAGTGAGTTGTTGTGACAGCTGGGGCTCAGGCCACCCTGGTCCTGGCCTGTTTCTTGTCATTCCCCAGTCATGGGACCTTGGGCAGGGGACTTTGTCTTCGAGTACTAGTGCCGCATCTCCACGGGTGCAAGCCAGCTTCAGTCCCCATGCCTGGGTTTCCCCATGGCACCTCCAGAGTCACGGGGCAATTAGAAGAGCTGAGCCCCAGCTGGCCCTCTAGCAGCCCTCAGAGCCGTGGGTTCTTATGGCCGACACACTCCCATCTCTAAAATGGAATGGTAATTTCTGCCTCCAGATGTTGTTCAAAATAACAGGATGATGTGGTTGGGCACCCACAAACTCCCCAAGTAACTGGCCTTATTTGCCATCACACCCTTTGGAGACACCAAGTGCAAGTCAGAGGTGGGGTCAGGCCTGGACCCTGTACTTAATTTACTCACCTTCCTGGCCTCTGCCTCCTCATCCATGAAGTGGGTCCAGGGATGCCCCCTGAAGCTTCTTGTGAGGTTCAGGGCGATCACGTACCAGAGCAAGCAGGACAGGAGAGGACAGATGCCGAGGCCAGCTGTGTGCCTCGTTGCCCACCTGCCTCTTCTCTCTCCTGCTCTGTCTGCTCCCTGCAGCCCCCAGGCCCCCTACGTCAGGCTGTGGGAGGAGGCGGCCTACGACCAGAGCCTGCCTGACTTCAGCCATATCCAGATGAAGGTCCTGGGCCATAGCGAGGATCCTCGCCCACTGCTGGCCCCTGAGACGCAGCCAAGAACCAGCGATGGAGAAGCAGGTGGCCCGCAGGATGCCCAGGCCTGGGTGGAGGCTGCTGTGGTCGTCCACAGGGGCTTGGATGAGAATGAGGAGGAAAGACACCGAACTCAGAACAGGCCTGGGTGAGCGCAGAGCTGAGGAGCAGAGGCTGCCCAGCTCCAGGGCAGAGGAGGGCGGGGGTGTGGGACCCCAGAGTGGGGAACAGGACATTCGGGACAGAGGGGAGGGCAGTGGGGGGTGCAGGTCACTCAGAGCAGCAGGCAGAGTGGTGACGAGGAGTCGGGCCTGGGTGGGAATCCCAGCTCCCTTCTGTGTCTCCATGGCAAGTTTCCTGCTCTCCTGGGCCTCAGTTTCCCCAATGGGAAGTCACTCCTACCACACAGGGCTGTTGTAGAATAGGGACACAGTAAGCCCTTGCTTTCTCTGAATGTTGTCGTGGGTAGCAGCGATCCTGAAGCCAGAGGACCCAGGATCAAATCCTGACCCTGCCGCTGGCTTGCCCTGTGACCTGCAGCAACTGGGCTCTTAGATTCACCCATTTATTTGCTTATTGCATTATCAGTTCTGGGCACCAACTCTCTGCCAGGCCTTCACTGGCCTCCTCTGCAGCCTTCAAGAACTCCCACTCCAGCTGGGGAGGCAGACAAAGGAACAAAGGGACCCCTGGTGTGTCAGGGGCTGTGAGGGACCAAGGGAGAACCCTGGATGATTGGGGAAGTGTAGGAATGGCCTGGTTTGGATAATACCATAAGAGCCCTGTTTCTTGAGCACTTATTATGTGGTAGAAATCATGCAAAGTGCTTTGTATGTATTTTCTGCCATAAACTCAGAAACAACCACAGGAGGGAACACGTATTTCCCCTGCTTTATAGGAGAGGAAGCTGAGCCCCAGAGAGGTGAGCTAGCCTCCCCCAGGCCTTGCAGCTGGGGGTTGGCTCTGGACCCAGTCAATCTGACTCAGAGCTACTCTCTGCCTCTGCAGCTCCCCAGCCTGTCCCCAGGGCCCTGCGCCCTTGGCCTCCTTCCAAGATGACCTGGACTTGGGCTCCAGTGAAGGTAGCAGCCCCAACCCATCTCCACCTGCTGGGAAGGAACCTCACCCCCTAGCACAGAAGCACCAGGCCTGCAGGGGCACACGGGACCACTTCTATGACTTTGCCTTAATTGATGATGCTTCTGTGTCAGAGGATGGGCCCCGAGAGGGGCAGCCGTGGGAGACAGCTCTGCCCAGCAACAGCTGGCAGCAGTACCCAAGGACAAAGGAGGTGGAGGAGGAGAAGTCTGTAGACGCAGGTGTGGAGGAGCCTGAGGAGGAAGAGGAAGACTTGTACTACGGACTGCCAGACAGCCCCGGGGACCCCCTCCCCGACAAAGAACTGGGCTTTGAGCCAGACACCCAGGGCTAAGGTGGAACTGCGCTCAAGTTTCTAGACTGACCTCTCAGGGCTTCAGTTTCCCTATCTGCGAAATGGGATCATAGGGAGGATTAACGGAGACAGTGGACCGAAGAGCATTCTGAGAACTCTGGAGGAACACCAGGGAGGAGAGGGGCTCTTCCAGTAGTTAGCTCTCAATGGAAAGCTCTTTTTTTTGAGGCAGGGGAGGGTCCTGGGGATTGAACTCAGGGGCACTCAACACTGAGCCACATCCCCAGCCCTACTTTGCATTCTATTTAGAGACAGGGTCTCACTGAGTTGCTTAGCGCCTAGCCATTGCTGAGGCTGTCTTTGAACTTGCAATCTTCCTGCCTCAGCCTCCTAAGGCGCTGGGATTACAGGCGTGCGCCACCATGCCCAGCTTTTGGCAAGCTCCGGAAGGTCAAATGGGATTTGTTGTGAAGATCCACAGCAGCTGGGCTCTCAAAAGCTTTTTCTGCTTCCCCAAAGCCAGCCTCTGACAGGGCGCCTGTGTGATGCTACCCAAGGGCCCTCGGGCTCCCCTTGCCCACTGAGTTCTGGTCCACAGGAAGGTGATGTGGTCCGACTCAAACTGACTGGGTCTCCCCCTGGCCCAGTCCCTCCTGCAGTTCCCACTGTTGCTTCGCCAGGATCCAAACCTTCCGTGACTGACCCCTCCCGGCCACCCAGCTGCAGCCCTGGGCAGTACCACCTCCTTCTCTGCTTCTCCAGTCCCCATCCTGCAGCTCACAGACTTGTCCAAGCTCCTCTCCACCAGGAAGCCCTGGTTCCCGCCAACCCAAGCTCAGTCTGCAAACCCCTGCGGAGACGGCCTCCTCTGAGACGTTGCAGCTTTGGGAATGGGTGGTCCCCACTCCTCGGTGCTCCCTCTGGGGCTCATACATGTATCACTGTGACATCACACCTGCCTCCTGCTCCAGGGTGGCATCTTGGTGGGTTTGGTGGCCTGGAGCCTGGGTCACTGAGGGTGTGCAGGACTCACGAAGGGCCAGGAACCTGTTGCAGATAATGTCACCCTCTTCCACTTCCCCAACTTTTGGACACATGGCCTCTTGACTCCCTGGAATTAAAACTTCCAGATGGCTAAGCCTGGCATAGAGCTCCCAGAATGGTACCCACCATTGGCCCACAGAGCTTAGTTGCTTTGGCTGAGAGTGGGTGGAATTAAGCATCCTGAATTAAGTCTGTTAGACTCGAGTGGTATTTCCTGAGCATTTACTATGTCCCTGAGGCTTAGCTGGGATCATCAGGAGGGAAGAAGCATGAATAACTGATATGGTTCTTGACCCAAAAGGGCTCACCATCCAGCGAGCCAACTTTCTTGTAAGTTTGAGACAAGAGCACAGAGCTAAGGTGAGAGCAGAGACATCAACGATGACACCAGAGGCAGCACAGTGACAACTGAACAATCATCTGGGCCCATCAAGGGCAGCAGCAAAGAGCCTCGGCAGCCCTGAAGGCCTGGCTGTGTTGTGGCGTCACAGGGCAACGCCTGCCTCCTGTGGATCTCTGCCAAGTCCCTCTGTGCCCCAGCCTGGGACAGTGGCAGCTAGCTGTGGAGAAAAGGGCAGTGGTGCCACCTCAGACAGGTCCCTCACCCAGGACTTGTTCCCTGGACCACCTGGAAGTGGGAGGCCTCACCGGGCTGGGCCTCTGGGTGGAGGTTGGGGGTCTTGGCTGAGGGAAGGGGAAACCCCTCTGCTGGGTCCTTTCTGGACCATTTCTACCTCTGCAGTGAAGGGTGCCACCTTCACCCTCTCTGCTGATGGGACACAAGAACAGATGTCCCTGCTCATGCCCTAGTCATGGCTGAGCAGCGTGAGGTGCAGCGTGCCCTGCGCTCTGGTGGTCAAGGTAGGAACTCCCGTGACCCACATCAGAAAGAGCACCAGCGCCAAGGCTGAAATAAAAAAGCTGTCAACAGTGAAGGACACCTTTATTCATCTGAAAATTCCTTTCTGCCCTTGGGGCAGGATGAATGAGCCAACACGGGGCTGTGTGGGCGCCTGAGAGTGAGCGTCAGACCTCCCTGTGCCTACCGCTGGGGGAAGCAGCTCCAGGGCCCTAAGACACAACTTCAGGGCCCTGGACCCCATCCCCAGAGAACCCCTGGTGGCCAGCCCTGCCAGCAGAGACTGCCCTGGGGGCCTGGAAAGAGGTTTCCTGTCCCACCGTCCAGTGAGGAGACCACAAGCCTGATCTGCCTGGGATGGTCCGCGTTTGCACTGTCTCTGCCCTCAAAGCTACCCGCTCTGGATGACAAGTTACAGATTCACCCTCCCTGCCCTGTGACCTGGGGCCAGTCAGGGGACCTCACTTAGCTCCCTTGTGCATGAACAGGAGATGACGCACCCACAGCTCTGAGTCTTGCAGGGTCGTGTGGTGGGGGACTTGGGGGCCTCCATCTGTCGGGGCCCTGCGGTCAGAGACCCCCAGGAGCGCAGCCTCGGTTAACCAGGCAGGTTCTCTCCTGTCATGGTGGGGATCCGGCACCCTGGGAACCAGGGACTTGCCCTTCCGGGGGGCTGCGCTGGGCGCTCCCAGACCCGGTGCCCTCGGGAAGCAGGTGAGTCCCTGGCCAGGCGTCCTCATCCATCCTGCCC